GGTGCTGAGGGACAGGGTTTAGTGGTGGGATGGCAGGGTTGGGTTAAAGGTTGGACTCGATGATCTCAAGGGGCTTTTCCAACCAAGGTGATTCTATGATTCTATGACTGAACTTCCAGGCTCCCAAGGCTGCCCGGAGCCGAGGAGGCGCTGCTGCACGAACAGCAGGGCAGCACACACTCACTATCGGCAGATGGCGTAACCGCACGCTCGCTCCGCTCCCCGTTCTGGGCAGAAAAGACGCGATATTGGAACGGGCTGCTACAGCCTCACGCTCTGACTGGCAGAGCAAACTGCAAAGGGGATGCAGACCATGACTTATCTCCTGATTTCAAGACCACTATTTTCAGTTGTATGACATCCTTTTTAATTTCAAACACACTTTTGGGGAAAAAAGGCTGTGATTGGGATCCCACTCTGCAAAGAATTCATCAACACGTGCTAACGCTATCATCCAGCTGAGTTCCCATCAAGCACCGCCATACACAAATTTTGCTCACACCACGTTTTTGCTGCCTGAGTACAGAAAATACTCCAGTATTATTTCTTCACATTCTAGAGATTCCTGTGCAATTAAGGTGAGTCTTGGCAATATCTTAATTGCTGATATGCTGCTGACATAAGACTTCTCTTCTAATTTAGGAGTCTTTCCTTCAGATCAGGTAAAAAAAAAAAAAAAATCCCTTTCATTTCAATGATTTAAGAAAAATGACATTTTCCATTTCACATTGCAAGTGAGAGTCATGAAGTAAAAATGTAAACTCCAAATTACCAAACTCCAAACAGGTAACAGAGTATATTTGATCAAAATAGGAAGCGCAGATTAGAGAATAATTTGGGTGCTTTAAAACAGTAAAGCAAGGAACTTAGTCAGCTTTGAACTTCGTAGCTTGTACAGAAGAGAAAGACTTCATTACCTATAGGAGGCTGGGAGACAGGAATTGAAGTGACATCAATCTGACATACTCAGTGTAATGACATTTCACATTAAGTTTAAACCAGAATAAGTTACAGACCTCTTTGACCTAAGCACTTCTTTTTGATGTTCCGTCAATATTCTTGCTTTTGTTTCCGGAGGAATAAACACAAAATCAACAGACTTCTCCTCTTCCAAAAGCATCTCACTTTTAGTCTTCACAGATGAAAATTCCAGTTTCAACTACAGAAAGGAAGAAAACCACTGGATTAGAAACGAAAACAGAGGCATTGGAAGTGTTTTCATAGTTCAGGTACAGCCATCCTAAATGGAACTGTTCTCAAATAACCGCAGTTCTTTCAGCATATTAATTGGCACAAATCACAGAATCCCAGGTTGGAAGGGACCTCAAGGTTCATCTGGTCCAACCTTTCTGGGCCAGACCCCAGCCTAGACAAGATGGCCCAGCACCCTGCCCAGCTGAGGCTTGGATGTGTCCAATGTGGCGGAGTCAACCCCAACCCTGGGGAGATCATTCCAATGGGTGACTGTTCCATTGGGAAAAATTTCCCTCTCATATCCAATCGGAATCTTCTCAGGATTAACTTGTATCCATTACCCCTGGCCTTTTCCGTATGACTCCTTGTGGAAAAGGAGCCTCCATCTTCTTTGTAGCCACCCTGTAAATGCTGGTACAATAGCAATTCATTTGTACATAACCCGAGATCTCTTCCTTTAAAAAAAGATATAAATGTAAAAAAATACGCATCTTACTTTAAATCCCTTGGTAAATCTCTTCCTTTAAAAAAAGATATAAATGTAAAATACGCATCTTACTTTAAATCCCTTGGTAGGTGCCGAGTTTCTTCAGGAGTGATGTTCTCCCCCCCCAACACTACTACCTAGGAGAGATTCTGCAACCTCCCCTCCATGCCCTTAAGCTTCTGCACTTCCTTTAGCGTCTTGACCTTCAAAGCCTGTACCAGGTGAAGGTGCCTCAATACTCATGAGGATTATTTACTGCTGTTTACTAAATCCTTAGGAATACAACACTCTTCTCTCCCTAGTCCAAGTGGCAAAACCAAGATGCACCACAACACCTGAACCTGTCAAAACCTGCAACCAGACCAAGGTGGAAATTTTGTATCTGGTTGCCACCCCTCCCATCCACCCCACAGCCTTCCATGATCCCCCCTTAAAACTCCGCAACCTGTGCACTTACCAGGGAATTTTAAACAGGAAAATCTAAAGTGTGCTGTACAATGCATGTTTGAAAGAAAAATATTTCAGCATCACAAAATGCATTAATTGTTACCATGAATGTGAAACAGCATACAAGGTGTTCTGCTGCTGAGTATCACGGATTTGATCCCATCCCACCCATCTGCAAACCCCTTACCTTTGCAGTTGTCACTTGCACATTACTGGACTGGTCTTGCGCTTCGTTTTTCAGTTCACTTGTCCGTGCCAATATAGAGTCTCGTTTTTGACCCAGGTTTACTTCCATTCCACTTATCTTTGCATCCAGCTCTGAGTTTTCCATCTACTCAAAATAAAAACGCACCCAATGCATTGTACGAAGCAACTCCAAGCTCACAAACCCATCCTGAGATGTATTAAATGCTACAACTAAACTGTCCCGTGCTCCCATTTTCCTCTAAATTACGTAGAGGACAACTTAAAAATTAATTAATCCAAACAAGCCAGCAGAACCCAGAATTTAAAATGCACAAACTGTGAAGAACCAGCTCAGTCTTTTGACAGTGCGTACCCAGCACAGTTTATCATTCCAAACACAAAGCAAGTGCAGGCCAATCACAGTAAAAATCAAAATTGTCCTTGCCACTACCTTCTGAGCTGTTCCCATCAAGTTATACACAATGATGACCCAACAGGGTCAACAAAATATTTACCGCATCGGAGAAGGGGCCGCTGTATTCTTCAGCTATCTCAAAGCTTTCAAAACCAGGCAGCAAGAGTGGCATTTTCTTTTTGGCTTGGCTTAACACAGATCTGCTCAACAAAAGAGAATTTTAAACTTGGGTGAGGGATGGGGAAGATACGCAACAAGCCAGCAGACACCCCAGCTGGCACAAAAAAGCAGAATATAGATGGTAACCAGGACAATACCAATGCTTTTGTGCATAACCAGAGATCTCTGCCTTTAAAAAGATTTTTTTTAAAAAAAAATATATATATTCATCTATATCTTACTTTAACTCTTCAGGATACATTAACGACGTAGTCTTGGCAAATGTCGCATTCCAGAAGTGGGCACACTGGTTGCGGATCTGTTTGCTCTTATGCTGAAACATGGCACAGAGCAAGGGAGAAAGCTGCTCTAGCAGCTCGCTATCGTAAGAGCCGGTGCAGTGAGACTGTAAACACAGGATAATCTCGGCCAGTAGCTTTTCAAGCTGAGGGAGAGAAGAAACAATAGGGATTGTATTTAATTTAAATACTGCACACAGTCACTATTTAAAAGTTTAAAACATTATTTAAAACATTACTGCCCCACGGAATAGGACGGCCTGAATAAACGAGTTTAAACGCGACACCACACGGTAAGTCTAACAGCTAAGCTTAGTGGTTCCCCCCTCAGCTACCTTTACAGTAAAAAATAAATTTAAAAACTAAATCTCTACCTTCATTACATTTTTAATACTTTTTGTTTTTAGAATACAGGATGAATGGCAAAACTCCAGCGCCACACACATTTTCCCAAACCCCAGCTATTTCTCTAGCAGATTTACCTTGTTGGTAAGGTTACTGTATACTTTAGATCCATCAGCATGCCTGCCAAAAACAAACAAACAAACAGTTCTATTTTGCTGTCTCATTTATCCTGAGCATATGAATTAAACACGTAACGCACTCAAGCGCTGCACACTAGTTTTGGTATACAACTTGACGAAATCATGTTGTGAAACAAGCCTCCCGTTGGGCGATTAAGTATTTCCCGGTGTAAATCGTTTCGAGTAAGCCTATCCTTGAACCCCCACTGGTACTTACACGCCGGCTTTACGAGAGACTAGCGGAAAGATCAGCAGTAATTAGTACAAACGTAAAGGTTTTCTTATGAAGTAACTTCTAACTGCCGCCTTTGTGTTGCTCTGAACCCTCTCCCCAAACAGATTTCCCAGGCCCCATAAATACTTGCATTAAAAAGCTAAAGCTCCGCCTAAACTACGTAACTTCAGGTAAATAAATCCCTGGCTACAGCATCCTGAAAAACGCAAGAAAACTGCAGTTAGTAATTCATTTTACAAGCCTGTGACCTCCAACCTGAAGAGGTTCCCAACCTTGTATTTGCTTGCATATGCCTTCCTTCAAAAACATATACCCAAGACTCGCTTCTCCCCTTTAGTGAGTATCCCAAGAAAGACGATGCTCAAACACAGGTGGATGAGATGGGAGATGGAGCGGGGTGGCGTTCAACTCAACCTCACACAGGAACAAGGGGATTCCCGATGAATGATAGATTAGAAGTAGCAGTCCTGCTTCCAGTTTGGGTGAAAGCTTCCAGAAAACACCTAGGGGCTGTTCTGCAGCATCCTACCCTATCCCATCCTCCCTCCTCCCAACACGCTCACAGCTGTACTTCCCTTTTCTTATCTTTTTTCTTGTCCTTGTCCTGAGCAAAGTGTACACCTCTGGCATCATCAACACATTGGAGACGAGCCTCTGCCAGCCCCCTCCCACCAAGCCCCTAATAATTCCATCCTGTCCTGGGAGGAGAAGCCTACAGTAATTAAAAAATAAAAAAGCAAAGCCATACCAAAAAAAAAGCGTATGGCAATAAGCATTTCTTAGTACTTTCCTCTGCTTAAAAGCCTAGAGGAATTTAGTGCACTTCAACTTACCATGATTGCTCTTTTTCCTACAAAAATTTATGCAGTTCCTGCCCACTAGAAAACAAATCTGTTAAAAAGTATCTTTGCTACTGTGAAAATAAACAGCAGGTGGAAGCCAAACACATTGGTCTTGCAGAGATGACAACACATTCACTTTGGAGAGAGAACCATTTCAAACACCAAGCTTTCAGAAGGCCCACACGTTTCCTTTTCTGTACGACTACAGAGGTTTGGGTTTATTTCTGAAGAAAAGCGTTACAAGGGAGACCGCTGCTCACACGGGTGGTTTCCTGACCCCTGACGGAGGGCTCTAAGGCAACGCACCCCGGCTCACGCGCAGCAGTTGTAGACAACAGCAAATTCTCAGTGGCCACCTTACAGACCCCACTCCGCCTGCGGCGCTGGGGCGCACCACAAAACCAGCACCTCCCAGCCAGGCCAAATCTAGCAAACCACACGGTGCTCTCAAAGGCGAGACTCGGCAGAAGTGTAAAATTCTTAGCATATTAGCGCCAAAGCTTTGAAAAACCTGGAGCTGTATTTAAATACACTGATTGCTACAGAGCACACACAGTTTCACCAATAAGCAGCAGTACAATGAATCCAGTTTTCCAACCGTTCTTAAAATACTCACTTTGTTTTTTCATAAAACACTGCCAGGGGTTTTGAAAAAATTGCAAACATAGTCCCGATCACTGAAGGCAATGAAACGTGGCTGATGATGTTGTGAAGAACAGCAATAATTGAAGGACCAACAGAGACCAATGTTTCTGAACAGATTTCTTTGGAACTGAACACATGGAAAGAGTTTAGTAACATCACCAGGAGTTTAAATAGAGAGGCAAGCTTTCCAAGGGGTTCCTTTTTCTTCTTAGACCAATCTGTAGGTGTCTGTGGAGCTAACGTTGTATATATGTATGTGTGTATATATATATACATAAAGTAGCCTCTCTATGTGCATATGTACATATATATGTATATACAAAAAAAAAAAAAGAAATAATTTTTTTTCCTATCTAACCAACGTGCACTACAAAACGCATCTGAACTTTTTGTCTACATGAGGAACAGGACTTTGATTCCCCAACTTCACCTACATACGAATAGTTTAGAACCAGACCTAATAGAAGATGTAAAATTATGCATTAAAAAAGCATCATACCACTACAGATACGACTCCTACCTACTCCTCTTATTTATATTTATGGCTGGTCACACAAATGACTATGCTTTTAAGTGTCTTTAATGCCTACTGGCAAAAGGACAGCGACCACTCCAGATACTAGCCGGTACGCAAAAATTTTGGAAGAGGCGAGGAGGAGGGAAGGGGAAGTATCAAGTTTTATTAGTTCATTTATTTATTTGTAAGTGAAGTTTTCACCATGGTTTTCCTCATCAACATTCCCCATTAAAACCATTTTATCGTTTCAGCAGTCCAACACAACATCTTACTACTTTAACAACTTCATAAAAAACCCCTTCATTTCGTAAATCATTTCAGCTTTGTTGTAAACAAGAGCAGGAAACAGAACAAAGACCATTTTACAAGCAATGACTTTTTGTGTTCTGTTAAACCTGTTCTTGACTATTTTATGCAAAAATAATTCAGGAGCAGCCGCCTTTCAAACGTAACGTTAACAGTTTATCATCCATTTACCAACCGATACTATATAATTAGATTGTGGATTACGATCAAGCATTACAGGCAGCAGATCCCACATGCATGAGTGGAACGACAGCCAACACGTCACATACTGCGCCAGAAACAAGCAGGGTTCTACACTGAACTGAAAAGTACAGTGGCCTCAGCGTTTACATCGATTTCAGATGTATTCTGTTGGGATAGGCAGTAACTGCTCAACTGCTCAAGAAATAGAAGAGATCCGATACTCAAATATGCGTATTGGATGATATTTTTAGTTCCTTTTTATGATTTTTTTTTTTTGTTGTCAATCCCTTCAGTGCTTAGACGTCATCACTTCTGCATCTACAACAACTCTAATTTTCAACCAGCTCTGGAACACAGACACAAAACTCCCCAATATTCAAGCATTTTCTTACATCTGGTTTTTGGCTGATATTTAGTACCATATGGTGCAAAGTTGATGCAGTCAACCATAACTGATATCACATGGGTGAGACTGTCCATCATTGAGAACATCTGAGGAGGAAACAGAAGTCATCAGCAAAGCTCAAAGGAGCAGCAGTGACAGAAATAAAACCATGTTGGCCATTCAGGACAGCAATACAAACAGCTTTTACATTTAAAAGTGGATGAAATTTGTCTGCGTTACCAGGTAAGACTCAGATAAGATCACAGTTTAAAATACAGACATTTACACCAGCTGAAGTTTTCCCATTCTATACAAATAAGACATAAGCATATATACAATCTAAAGAAGGAAAACAGTAACAAGCAGCTGTAAGAAGGTGTTAGATTTAAGAAGATGCACCACAAGTATTCAGCTCCAAGGTACGAGCTGCCCAGCAAAGCATGTTACCAAACGTCAGCGCGGGCTTAAGTTCTGTTACTGTACAAAGCCTGATCTTCAGAAAAGTCACTGCAGGCGTAACGATAAGGTTGTCATTAATATTCAGGAAGCACAATCAATTTCTATTACATAGAGAGAGATGGGTCAAGCTCCCCCACTCCAAATCATCATAAATCCTTCTAAATAAAAAAACCCAAACTTGCTTTTAAAAGGAACTTCGATATTGTGGGCCAAAAAACCAGTTTAGTTCCAATACAACGGACATGCTGAAGCTCTAAATTGTAAAGTTTGGCTTGCTTCATTTTTGAAAATTGAAGTTTGTCATCAGGATACAGCAACATCCAAAGGAAGTTACAATGATGTAATCCTCCAAACACCATGTTTTTGAATTCCATTTTTCTTATCGGTTTCTTATTTTTTCCTTTTATGGTATTTTTTCAACTCTGAAGCACGAAGGATTTTACGTTCCAAAGCTAATGTTCACTGACACCTACAGACACTCTACCCCCCATATGATGCTTGCAAACAGGCAAGACGGATAATGTAAAGGCTTCCTCTTTCAAAAACCCTCTCTTTTATAAAACTTTGAGCTCTTTAAATTTTAGTGTACAAGGTTGATGGTGCCAGAAATACAGCACATTATGCCCTATACCCACCTGCCTAAACAAAACGCCCGCTTTTGTGGTATTTGGTAATTCAGCCTGAAGTTACTTTAGATATACACACATTTTTACCAGACAAATCATATTTACCATTTCTTTTCACTAAACCAGTACTACTTGATTGGTTAGAAGACAAATTCAAAGACTGCTTAACTGCTATTTTATATTTAAGCTTTATAATTATTTTTACTCTCTTCTTTCCATCCATTTCTATATTAATTCCAACTCCTGTTAGGAAAAAGAATTTTATTACGGCTTTATCTAAGTCTCACCCAAAACACTTTAAGTTATAGAAAGTACCACATTAGAGTTTACAATCGGTTCTTATATCTAATTTAAAATATATCTGCTAAAGTATTTATATAGTTCAATATCACTGGTTTATACTCACTACTGGAGTTTCACCTTCTAGCCCAGATATTATTTTGGCACAAAGTTCTTCACAGCATAGGTTTTCTTCTGCTGTTGCAACTAAAGCAGCACAGCGAGCAAATGCTCTATACAGGTCTGACCAAGTGCGCAACAAGGATTTCATAGTTGGCTTTAACAACAGAAAGAAAAAGTTTATAAATATCAATGTCTGCATAGAGATAAAAACTTACTTTAAGATTTCTTCTTCTGTCAAAACCTATGTAACTCAAGAATTCCAACCCTGGAGCAGCGGTCCAATGTATATATATACATACTGGTAGCTAACCCTGCTCTGAGATTATCAGGTAGTACTTTATCATTTTTACAAACCCCACATTGTTTCTAATCAACATTATGCATTCATCTTTACCTGTGGAAATTCCGGGACGGGGAATATATGCGATACTGGTAGCAACAACGCGCTATAAACAGCACTGAAGTTGTGTTCCAGTGCATCGCCCTGGTTTACTTCATTAGTCTGCAACGAGAAAACAATTTTCTGGTTAAGGAAGCTGCCAAATTCAGATGACAGATAAAGCTGTTCTAAATGCACGGATTTTATGTCCAAAATAAATGTAAGCTAAACTGCCAGTGCCGTTCTGAAATGAGCTAGTCTCAGTTTTTTCAAGACTTCAAGCTGATCTTACTATTCAAAGAGATAAAAAGCACTGTTTCTTAATTCCAAAATAATTTAATTCCAAGAATAAAACCAATCCATTAGAAAACACCTTATGTATTTTTTACTTATTTCAGTTGCAGTAAGTGATGACAGCAATCTCCTTAAAGCACCTAAGGCTTTCTTCATAAATTTTAAGATTTTTAGGTATGATGACTGTGTGAGGATTAGTTCAACAACTCCTACATCAGCCATGGTACTCTGCTAGTCAGAAATCTGCAGAACCTGTTGAATATTACAGTTTATACGGCTTCCATTAGGGCTTCCCGTCAAGAAGGCTAAAATTAGTAAGAAACACTGTTCTGATTACGTCCTAAACATCACAGCTCAGTATTTATTATGTTTTCACATAGGGCAAGCAAGCCTCTTCGTACATGGAAGCTAAGAGGTCCTGAAGGGCAGGTTTCCATCCTTTGCAGCAGCAAGACTACGCTGAGGAATGAAGGCTCGAAGCACATGTATAAACAAGTTTATAATCTTAAAAAGGGAGAAAAACCATTCCCAATGCTACATTGGACACTGTACTTAAGAACGATCACGCTTACTGACTGGAATCACTTTAAACCACACTTCGGATCACTGCTCCACCTCTGCCCTTCCTCCTCTCTCACTGCAAACGTTCATGCAGCGATTAGGGACTTTTAAAACAAAGCAAAACTTGCTGCACACATTCCAGGCTTACATAATTTTACCATCACTTCAAGACACGTCATTCCTGAAAATACATTAAGCCAAAAGATCAGCACAAAGTTTTCCTGTGCTTTTTTTCTTGGGAGGTGGGAACGAGGGAGAGAACAAAAGCGCCACTATACCCGATTAATCCATTCGGTTAGCGGATTAACAACAATGCTCCACATTCTCCAAAGATGCTCCTTATTTTCCACTTGCTTGGCACTCTGATTAATAATGCAGATCACAGATTCACTGAAAGCCAGCGGAGATGTAGGCCCAGACAAAACATAACCCACGAGCGTTTCTAGAATTACAAAGAATCTAGGGAAGGAAGTTGAAGAGGTAAGATACTTTTTTCAGCTGAAGTTAGGAAAAAACTTCTATGAAGTCTCAAACTATGGGAAGCTCGTTATGAACAAACACCACCACGTACCTCTCATCTGTTACACAGCATTCCAAGAGGTTATTTTGGAAAGGCAGCTGAATTAAGAACAAAGCTGGCGTTCCCTTGTAAGAGAAATTTAAGACGTCAAAACAACATATGCACTGATCAAATGAAACTGTAGTCTCACTCGTGTGTATCTATGTACTATATTTAACTCTAAGCCAGAAATTTGCAATTACTAGAAATTGTCAAAAATCTAACACTTCAAAATAAAAATGAGGCAAGGCTGGAAGCCTAAGCTTCTGCCAGATCCCAGGGCTTCAGCGGAACACCAATTGTACTGAAGTTGAAGGGAAAAACTTTTCTGTTTAAAAGGCTTCGAGTTGTATAGCGCTCAGCCGTTACGGCCTGGAAAGCCCAGGCAGCACAGCAAGGCATACAGCACCCAGCCAGGGCGCATTACCATACCTGGAA